CCCCCCCCCTCCCACCGGCCAATAATTTTTCAACTGCTTTGGCTAATCTTTAAAATGTCATATGGAAGATATAATGAAAGTCTCTATTTTGGGCTCCCTGTGTCGTTTCTTCATTATCATTCCCAATCGTTCAAACGTGAGTACCGCCTGGCTGTTTGTGCAGAGCAGGAGGAGTTCCCTTTCTGTTTTGTTGATATTTTACTCGAAAAATGCGTGGAACATTGGTTATTTTGGCTATTTTAGCAGTGTTCTCAGCTATTATTATTCATCAGCTGCATAAACGCTTGTTTGGTATACCCGTACCTGATGGTCTTAACCCCAACTCTACCTTTTCTTTTCAAGTTGTTGGATTCCTTTTCAACTTTGCCAAAGATCTGGTAAGTCTTATAAATTCTTCTTTTAATATTAAGTTAGTCTCATTTATTACGCCTGCTTCGATTGTAGCACAGCTCGCACGATGTGTAAAACAGGTAAAATTGATATGAGCAATCGTGTTTACGTTGGTAAGGACAACACCTTTCTAAGAGAAAACTAAATAGATTGATCCCTTTGGACTAGCTTGCACCCTTTCAAATACTTCTCTCTAATGGCCATTAATAAACGGAGCTTCGATGAAGGGACGAGGCAAAATGCTAATTTTCGGCTTTCTAGGAGACTACCTACAATAATCATTTATATTTCTTCTGTAGTCACGATTAGGTACGAGGCTTGGAATCGTCAACAACTACCATATCAGTGTGAGAAACCTCTTTGAAAAGTTTTCATACCTGGTTTTGAATAATTCATTTGCTGATCAATTAGAAATTAATGATACTGAGATATTTGGAAGCAAGGTTAGGATATACAAGCCTGTCAACAAGACAAAAGATAAAAAGAAAAATGATGAAAGGAAGGATGAAAATGAGAAGCTCATGCCAGCACTCATATATTATCATGGAGGAGGCTGGACAATTGGGAGTCTTGGTAGGTTTGAATGAGTGAATGGATGGATGGACTGCATAAATGAATATACACTTGACTGAAAAAAAACACTTCCTATAACTAAATTAATAAATAACTGAAAATCTTGTTTCTTGATTCATTCAGCTGCATATGATGCATTTTGTCGAAGAGTTGCAGTAACTGCTCAAGTTATAGTTGTGTCTGCAGAGTAAGTATTGGTTTTGGGTTATATTCTTTACTGCTTCAGTTAATCATGCCTGTAGTCACGATTGGACTTTCAATTAATATAATCATCATTATCATCATCATCATCATCCTCACCAAAACATAACCATCTTTATCATCACTGCCATCTTCATCACCATTAACATCACCATCACTGGCATCATATTATCGCTACCACCACCATCACCATAACATTAATAACTGCTATCATTATCATTCCTTCCTGCAGAGGCTGTCAGCAGGGACTCATTACTGATTATTGCCATCATCTTCCGTAATGAAACCCTCCCCTCATTGAATTGTTAATTTTACTTTCAGTTATAAGCAAGCTCCCGAATACCTTTATCCTACAGCATTTAACCAGTGTTACAATGTTGCTGTGGGACTCCTAAACACTGGTGCTCAATATGGAGTTGACGTCAAGAGAGTTATGGTTGGTGGTGACAGTGCTGGTGGAAATTTAGCTGCAGCTGTTACTCATACTGTGGCTTATGTTGGTGAAAAGCATTGTAGAAAACAGTATATAGCTGGACAGGTGACCAGAATTATCTAATAATAATGTTCACATACCTATTGTTCAGTGTCCTCCCTTGATTCAAGGGTTTTCTCTAGCTTCTCCATTTTTTCTTCCTACACAAAATCCAAAAGATGAAATTCGAATTCAATGAGTGAGTTTGCCTTGCGCTGAATTAGATCAGCCTAGAGTTTGTTTCTGGTTTTGATGAAACTAATTGACATGGATGACACTTAAAAAAGTGATAATAAAATGAATTCGTTTTAATACTTCATTATCTGTAATTATACAACAATATTTTAAGAGTGTTTAAATTTTTTAGCCTTCCTTTTTCACTTTAAAAAATGGGAAAAGATGAACTAATGATTTTTTCTCTTCATATTTCAGATCCTGATTTATCCCTCCCTTCAAATGTTGAATTTCAATCTGCCATCCTATATAGCGAATGAAGATGGGGTCATTCTTTCAAGGCATGACGTGGCAGAGTTTGTTTCCGTGTACCTTACAGGAAACACTGATATAGTAGATGCAATGCTAGCTGGAAACCATTCTAAGCATTTAGAAAACACTACCTATATGTCTTACTTTAAAAGTGAGGAGTCTGACGAGGGTCCCATAAGGGAAGAAGAAAATGAAGCAGGTATAGATGATGAAGATGAAACATCTATTGAAAATCAAAATATTGGAAAACCTCTCATTGAAATGACAGACTTGGTTGCTGAAGCTCTGATTAACATCAAAGGATCACCGTTGGTTGCCAGAAACTTCCGTGGTGTTCCTCAAACCCTTTTATTGTCTGCAGAATGTGATCCTCTCAGAGATGAGGCATTTTTGTACGCCAAGAGGCTCAAAAAAGCTGGTATAGATGTTGTTCATAAACATTATCCTTCCTTTCATGGGTTTGTTACTGTCACTAGCGAGCCTTGGCCTTATGGCACAGTTGAGGCTAGAGAGGCCATTCAAGAGATGGTGAGATTTATAGATAGAATGAAGAAAATGAAGGATAAAGAACAAGAAGAGGAGGAACAAGAAGAAGAGGAACAAGAATCACAAAAACAGAAGAGTGACGTTTGGTAAAATTACACGAAAATGTTTTATAAATAATTCATAAATCAAAATAATGAAGTTTTTTTCAGACTCCAAGTATTTACAGTAGCAAGGGCCAGATTAGCTTGCTGCAGACCAAAATTAACTTTTGTTAAGACAGTTAAATAAATTCGGTCTGCACGCAGGTTATAGCCATATTTACACAGCAATTTTTGATGTTTTAATAAATGTTTTAATGTGTTTTAAACTTCTAACTTAATTTGTGATCTAATTTTTTGATACATTATCTAATAGGGTGAAAGTATTTAACCCGTGAAATAAAAAATACTAGCCAACGTGTAATAGACAAATGAACACAAAAGAAAACAATAGAATAAGGGTTTACTAATGTATTAGTCTAATATCTATTTCACGGGTTTAGTATTTTTATATATTGTCTATTAATCAAAATGCAATAGAAATTAGGTTTATAAGTAAAAGTTATCAAATTTCTTGAACCGAGTGTTAAGGTTACATGCTTTAGAAACGGTGATGTGATAAGTTGCCGAGACTTATTAAGCTTTAATTGGCTAAAAAACATTGATCATGTGATTGCTCAACCAGCTAGGCAGTCGGCATAGGAGCAATGGGTGAGCTTGGGGCGCAACTCTTATGATATTCCTTGCCCGCAAACAGAAAGCCCTACTGGATAGTTTAAAATAAAAGTTAGCCTGCATAGCCAGGGGTTCCTTGTGGGTTTTGCGGGGGGGCTCCCCAAAACCCACAAGGAATGCCTGGCTACGCAGGCTATCATAGGTTTTTTTGCTGAAGCCTTTTGAAGAAGGAACATTTTCTCATCTTTGCTTTGTCCATATGTGCTTTGGGTTTTGATCATGCTAAGAATCAAGTTCCACGTATGCATGAGCAATCATGATTGTATTTATTTTATTCATATTCTGTTAGAATTTATATACAGTAACCCAAACTAACGAGACAAAAATCAATGAATAGGCTTTCAGTTTACATTTTTTGAACTTTTTTTCAACTCTTCTTGACAGCACCACTGTCGTTCTTATTTGAAGAGCCTTCTTCTGCTGTATTCTTTTGTTCTTTCGGCGGCCGATCCCGGTCTTTTCTCCTTCCTCGTTCACGATCACGCTCCCTTCGATCTGCCTTATCACGATCCCTGTCACGATCTTTTTCGCGCTCTCTATCGCTACGTCTGTCACGCTCTCTGTCACGGTTCCTGTCACGAGGTTTGTCTTTTACGTCACGCTCCCTGCTCTCTTTCCTTGGATTTTCCTGGTCTTTCTCCTTGGGGACAGCGTCTTTTCCTTTGTCAGGACTGGTCTTGGTATCCTTTGCTTTTTCTTAGAAAGGAAGAATTTAAAAGCGCTTATATTCATCTGTACTGGTTGAGATTCATCAAACAATATTTTTGAGTCTTGACAAGCCTTCGATTCTCACTAGAATCGTGATTACTTCATTTATACAGTCGCGCTTCATGTCTTGGGTTTAAGAACCCTAAGATCATGTGACTTCAAAAGGTGGTCTTAGGTGAGTGGAAGATTGATCCTGTCCTTGTCTATGTTAAGGTCTGGACTGTTAATCCTGATGTGGATGGCCTCACCTCGACAGAGACGGCGGCAGGGGGATCAATCTTCCGCACATCTGAGGATATCTTTCCGAAGGGATGGTGCAAAGGAAAGGAGCTCTCGTAATCAGAAGTGTACGCTTTGACTTTGAATTTTGATTTCGAGACTTGGAGCAAGTCTACATTATGTTGTGATCACGTGACGAACCCCTACCTTGTTGATCCGCATCAGATCGAGGTGGTCGAGGGCGTGGTTGGTAGATAGCCCTATCTGGTCGATCCTATTTAAAAATCATCATTAACATAATCAACATGTATATAACCATTATTATCATCAGCATCGTTTATCATCATCWTCACCACCAGGACATAATGTCGTCCTGTCGCATGATAAATGCGTGTGCTCATACCTTGTTCTTTAAGCGACTCAATTCCTTCTCTCTTTCGCTTTCTCTTTTCTCCTGTTTGCGGTTCGTTTTCTCCGCTGCACCGCGACTATGAGCCTGGTCTTTTCTCTCCGCCTCAACCTTCTTAGTTTTCGTGCTTTCCTCTTTTTCCTTATCCTTGCCCTTGGCTGTATTTTCCTCTCTGAATGAACCCTGAGAATCTCTGTGACTGCTCGGTCGGTTGTCGCGTCGTCGATCCGCATCCGAATATTTATCGTTATACCTTCGGACTCGCTCGTTGCGTCCTTTGGAGTCCGCACCATCACGTCTGTCTTGACGGTTCCCTCGTCTGTCGTCGGCGCGACTGCTTGAACGAGACAAATCTGGAGTGCTCTGAATATAAATAAACAAAGTTTAACAAGGGTGCAGCCAAGAGACCGCAAACCTATGCATTAAAATACCGCATTTATTGGCTAGTCGATCCTAAAGAAAGAAGGAAAGAGGGTTTCCAGAGGAGTTTAGGAATTTAATTCAAGTTTAATATAAGTACTTTGTCTGCTCGTTCTCTGGGATATCTTTGTTGTTTTCCATCTTTATCAGAGGAAGAGACCTGAAATGAAAACAGTGAATTAAACTAAGGACCAAGTCACATGGGTGTTCGAGTATCGCATAACACGATCACGTGATTGTACCAGTAGACCAACCTTACTATCCTTCCCTTGTTTCTTATTCTCGTCTCTCCTATTTTGATCTCGACGACCAGAGTCACGATTATCCGTCCTCTTCCTTTGAAAAAATAACCAGAAATTCTTTGAAAGAATATTTAAGGAACCATAATAATAGCGCTACAATCATTGCCAAAATACTTGACCTTTTGCCTAACACAGAAAATGGCTTTCCTCTGTCGCACTCTCCCCCTCCCCCTGTACAATGTTGCTGTTCCCTGAAAGAAAGCTGGTACCCCTGATCACACTCGCCAACCCTCTGCCAACTTGCAGGAATCCTAACATTGTACGGGGAAAGCGGGGTTTAGTCCTAGGTAGTGTTTTGCGAAGTACCCTCTCAAATACTAAAATCTGTCAAGCGTGCCAACTAATTATGGCAATGTGATGTTATTTGCCAACTATCATCACAATAATTCTTGCCTTGTTGCTTTGTTTAATCGACAAATCTATCTCTGGTAGGCAAAGAAATGACAATAGCTTACATGACAGAAACTAGCACTATAAGTTTCTATATCCCTGATTAGTGCAGCCCCCATAATACATACTAAGAATACCCTGTATCATAATAGCTAAACAATTGGTTCTAAAGCTTTTAATTATAATATCCATTATGACTAGATTTGTTTCATTTTTGAACCTCCAAAAAGAGATGGGATGAATCGAAATCAAATGTGAGGGCTGACAACAACATCTGCTTCAAATACTCACGATTCCTTATTTTTCTCTTCTCTTGGTACATTCTTGGTGTCCTTACTTGTTGAGACATTCTTCTTCAAAGTCTGAATATTGAAAAGTAATAATTTGCAAATTATATGAAAACATATTCCCCACTTATTTAAGATTCCACTCACTGCATCAGTAAGATGCTTAAGGCATTAAAGATATTGTTTTTTTAATTATTTCATAAATTCACCTTTGGTGTCTCATCCTTATCATGTCTCTTTTTCTGAACCAAAAAAAAAAAAAAAAAAAAAAAAAAAAAAAAANAAAAAAAAAAAAAAAAAAAAGAAAAGAAAAGACAAGAAAGAAAAAAGAAATTTAATAACTTGGAGTAATAATATTTTGAATAAAGATTGATATAAAAACTCACCCCTAAACCAAGTCTTGAACCTCCTCTATTTATGCGCTTCATTTTCAAGTATTCCAGAAGTGGTGTGCTTTTCTTTTCAACATCTATGATGGATGTATATCGTTACATAATAGTCTAGTGACAAATTGATTATACTTAAATCATGGACTTCAAGCATTCATGAAAATACTCATAAATAAATATATTCCCTCAGTATACTTTATTTAATCATGCTGTCTTTACTCAAAAAGACACTTACTTTCTTTACGAGATTCGAGTTCCTCCAAGTGAGTCTCAATGCTGGGTAAAGGCTTTACTTCTTCTTCAAGAGATGCAAGGAAAGCCAAGTAGTCCTTATCTAAATGAGAAAATGAATATTTGAAGAGGAAATAATAATTGCCATTTAATGAACAATCGTCTGGCCAAAACTGGCACTTGTCCAGACAAACACCTATTAGGCCAGTCCTCTTGACCAGTCACATTGACTGGTCACATGTTGATCAGTCAGATGTGGCCAGTCACAGAACTTTCAGAATGTTTTGGAGCATGTGCTCATAAGTCTGAAGTAGCTGGCTGTGATCCAATATATTAAAAATTTAGGGAAGCACCAGTGGCGTGTGCTGCTAATGCGCCGCCTCTCACCAATGCCGCCTGAGTTCGAGTCCTGCCGATCTCGGTGTCGTATGTGAGTAGAGTTGTTTGTTGGTTCTCTCCTGTGCTTCGAGTGTTTTTCTTCGGGTTCTCCAGTTATCCTCCCTCCTCTAAAATCAACTTCTAAATCCTAATTCGATCTTTGGGCTTTCACCTAGTTTGGATCCTAGCTCTGTTGTGATTGTCCCACACTGTGATACAATAGCAAAAAGCTTTGTAGAAAGATAATTTTTAGCTAGCAGTTAACTTTGATGCAACTGCCAAAGCTTCAATGGCTGCCAGCTTATTCTGAAAGCCCTGAGTCATAAGATAAGTCTTATTTTTTAGAAAAGAAAGTTTCAGCAGTGGTCACTGCTAGTTTGCTGACATGTTTCACATTCCATGAGCTTGGGATTACAAAGTGAAATTTGTAATCCTTAAAGAAGAGGTGGCTGAATTTTTTAAGAAAGGGGTTGTCAACCTTGTTCAATAGTGCTGCACTTTAGGTCCCTTCTGCTCTTCTTCTTGGGTATTCCTTGGTATGGGGCATACTCAACTACAGCTGGATATGACTGACCTGAAAATGAAAGATTTTATTAATCATCGATCCGTCAATTAGTAGTATCATGGTGTACGGGTTAACCAAGTACATCATTGGTTTCCGAACACACTGTCACTTAAATTTTTTTAATGGCAGACAATATTTGAACCCAGCATCCTCGGCACCAATTGACTATTACTATCAATGTCTATCCCAACACTAACCCTAGACCTAACCACTTAGCTATGAAGTGAATTGCTTGGCTACTCTTTGTTTATTGTCATATGTAAAACAATGCCTCATTATTGTATGCACAAAAATATTTATTATAGCATAATATATGCTATCGTAGGACACGACTACTAGCCAAATGAAATTGCATATCAAAATTTGAATTTGAATAGAATTCCCCTGACAATTCCCGAAAACCATGATATTACCGTTCAACCATCATTATCTCTTACCTCTTTCATCTGTAAACACATAGCCATCAAATTCATCTCGGAACTTAATTATGTCACCAGGGTTTTTGAAATTAATATAGGCTCTTGAAAAAAGAGCTGGACCAAAGCTACAAAACAAACAGACAAAAATCAGCATCTCAATCATTGTTTTTGAGTACATGTATACTGTAGCCTTACCTCATCTGACCCTCAACAAAATAGAAAAAATCATATTCTGGTATAGAGCCCATGCACTCCTTCAAATTTTCCTCTTTCAATGAAGGTGGTAGCCTTCGTAGCACTACCTGCAAATAGATGAAAAACATTAGTTTTCAGAGTGGCTGTTCGTACGTCACCCGCGGGATTGATGAGTCAAAAATTTCATCGATGAAAACGCTCTATTCGTATGGGAGTGAAAATGTTGGTAAATATTCGCTGAGCAGACTCCTGTACGAATAACAGTTGAGATTCTGCCATGACACTGACCAAGGGAGCACGTTAAAATTTTGATTGTGTTGGTTTATCTTCGATTTTATCACACATATTCTAAGATATAGCAGGCGTTCCTTGTAGTGCTTGTTTATGTCTGCGCACTACACTTTATGGCAGGCATTCCTTGCTTTAGTCGGGCTAGCGTATTTACTCTGAAAACCGACGAATAACTTGGGAGGAGTGGAGCGACGTGTAAAAAGTGACCTCCCTATTACATTTGTCATTTCCTTCCTTACGCAATCTTAAGCCATTCGGATCAGCCGAAACCAAAACACTATGAGGAACGCCTGTCACATGATGGATTGCGCGCACTAGATAGATCAATGAAGAACAATAACTTTCTTTACATAAACATAATTTTAATGTGCTCCCTTGCACTGACCTCAGACTACACGAAAAAAAATTCCAAGTGTCGCGAAAGTGAGTTGCTCGCTACTGCAGAGTACAGACTGGTCAAATAAGTTTGAATCAAAATAACATCACTGACATGAATCGCCTAACTGGTCTAAACAAAAATATCGCTATTTGGTTGGAAAAGAATACAGAGTTCCCGAGAAAATCGACGAAATTTTTGACTTCCGTACGAATAGCAAACACGTACGGTTGACGTATTTGAAAACATTAATCAATGTTTGTACTAATGTACGTTTGTATTTATTTATCGAATGAATAATATGCTGATATAAAGTTTAATTTATTAACCATAAGACCGAAAAACCAGCGAAAATGCAACCGATATGAACTTGAAATTAAAGGTAAAAGTTTTTCATGGGCATTTCAAAAACTCGTTTTCCTTTAATTTAAATTTTCTTTTTGTCTTCATGTAGACTTTAGAATTCAACATAAGACATACCTTAGTCGAGAAAAGACTCTTTTCCTTCTTGATTTTAGAGGACACTTTCGCTTTTTCCACGTCAGGTTTGCCCATCTTTCTCGCCATCAAACAAACTCTCCTGAACAACGACAGGCAGCCATCTTGGATCCTCTGTTATGAGTACCCAGGACTCAGCGATCTTCTGATCACCCAGGATACCCAAGATATAGATATTTGGTATTTATAAGTTATAAAAACAATAGTAGGGGATTTTACTTTATTTTCTTTTTTAACATAATAGTATTATTGGTTCGTTTTGTTTTCTTTACTTGAAATTACGAGTATATGATGAATATTTTTTAGGAAGTTGGGTAGTATCAAGGTTGGGATACCTGTGGTGGGTAGTCATCAGCGCCATCTTTACTTTTTCACATGACTTTTGGATGTCAGCTCACGTGAGCTAAATATTTTTGCATTTTTCTGCCTATATCGGACTTCAACCTCGCTACTCAACCATATCGTCGATGGAAAAGAGCGTCAAGATGAAGAAAAAGGTGAAGAGAAAATCTTTTGTGGATTTTCAAAGCTTAATTTTACGATACACTTTTAGGCTTGTGTGACGAAATACGACAGTGACTTAATTTTACCAGTCATTTGATTTTTCTATCTTGCGGATTCGTAGGTATTGCTTATGGGCAAAAGTGGTTCTGGTAAGACCAGTATGAGGTCTATTATATTCGCTAACTACATAGCTAGAGATACGAGACGATTAGGCGCAACAAGTGAGTCATTTCTTTCCTTTTAATATTACGTATAACCTATCTTTCTTCTACATGTAGTCATTCACTAGATACTTTGTTGATATAACATTTTTTAATAACACTTTTGATTCACGTTATGACTAGTTGACGTGGAACACTCTCACGTGAGATTTCTTGGAAATCTTGTACTAAATCTTTGGGATTGTGGAGGGTAAGTAGTAGTGTTTTTAATTTAACCATTAACTGACAAATTGTTTATTAAAGAAGGTTCAACTTCTTTCCAAACAAGCCTTCAGTGGGCTAAACAATTTTATTTTGTGGCATCATTTTACTTACTTAACTTATACAAATGGATTGTTGACAAAACTATAAATTATATTTTTGTCAGCAATTAAATAAATCAATGTTATAATTACTGTGTACATGCCGAAGGACCGTTCATTTCACTTATCTGTACACTTAAAGTGCACTAGATTGCATAATCATTCAATATGTCAATAATAACTCAAAACAAACTATACTATAGGCAAGAAGCATTTATGGAGAACTACTTTGCAAGTCAGAGAGACAACATTTTCCGTAATGTAGAAGTCTTGATTTATGTGTTTGATGTGGAGAGCCGTGAACTTGAAAAAGACATGCATTATTATCAGTCCTGTTTGGAAGCCATTCTTCAGAATTCACCAGATGCTAAGATCTTTTGTCTGATCCACAAGATGGACTTGGTACAAGAAGATCAAAGAGACTTGGTAAGTGTTAGTAATCTAGTATACTAGGTCTGTAGCTGCTATGCAAACAGCTCAGAAGGAATTAAACAAATCATAAGAAATTGGTTTAAATCAGACAGTTCCAATGCAGGGTTAAGTGCTTCTGATACCAGTCCTCTTGACTGATAAAGTAAACTGATAAAGTTTTATTGGTGGTCATTTCTAGTCTGACGACATGTTCGACATCCAATGAGCTTGTCATCATGTCTGGCCATTAAGCAGTCATTATTTTGTAGCCTTGACACAATGGCTTGGACTCTGTATACCATGATTCTCCATTACGTACTGAAAGCTAAATGATCTGTCATACAGTTTTGGTCTACCCTTTCATGTTTCCAAGTGAACCATTGCAATAAACCACAGGAATAGTCACTTCTTATTGGCAAATTTTGCAACACAGCCATAATACAATCAGAATGTTTCTATGCTTTTTGCTCCTGCGAAAAACCAACACCTCTTTAAAAACTTACCTATGTTCTTTTTCACACCAGTGATTAATCCTTCTCGATTGTCTCAATACAGTTATTAAAAAAGAATAGTACACCTGTGTCAGATAGAACCAGTTCTAAGATGCAAGGAATTCTTCAACTTTTATTTCAGATTTTCAAGGAGAGAGAAGAGGATCTGAAGCGTCTTTCAAAACCACTCGAGTGCACTTGTTTTAGAACATCGATCTGGGATGAGACACTTTACAAGGCATGGTCTTCTATTGTCTATCAACTGATACCAAATGTCACACAGTTGGAACAGAATCTAGAGAACTTTGCTTCTATTATTGATGCTGATGAGGTGTTGCTGTTTGAGCGAGCTACTTTTTTGGTATGTTAAAAATTTACAGGGAATGCCGAAAGGGAGAGTGTGGGGATCAGGTGGGGGTATTAACTCTTCATTTTTTGATATGTTCACTAATATGAGTCTCAAGTATCAACTCCCTACCCCATGACTTTCTGTCTTATTCATAATACAATTAGTCTATGCCACACACTTTAAAGGGCGTTCAACAGTCCTAGAGTTAAAGTTCAGGGCCCGGTTGTACGAAGCCTGAATAGCACTATCCAGCAGATAAATCCTTATCCAGTGGATAGGTCGATGCTGTTATCCAATAAATTTATCCACTGGATAAGATTTATCTGTCAAATAGCACTTTCCACCCTTTATACAACCAGGCCCAGTTGTTTTGAACTATCAAGTACATTAATTTGAGGCATTTCTTTATGGATAAAATTGTCTGTACTTAGAATATATAACTAGCTTAAAACTAGTGTGAGCTGCGTCGGTGTTTCTAATGAAACAGTATTATGATAAAAAGATAAATTATACACCGTGAAAAGATGAAACGATGTTCGGACGCTAGTCCTTTGTCGGAGTCTGTACTTAGTTCAGTAGTGAATTGATTTTGCTATCTATTTGCAGGTTATATCCTTCTGTCAGAGAAAACCACACAGAGATGTCCATAGATTTGAGAAAATTAGCAATATCATTAAACAATTCAAGCTTAGTTGTAGGTAAGGAAAGATTGTTTAGCAAACGTTTTTGTTATCTTGGGCCCTTTGTCCTAAATAAAAGAAAATAAAAAAAATCATTTTGCTTTTTTATTTTTAGTAAGTTACATGCTCATTTTCAAAGTATGGAGGTCAGGAACTCTGGCTTTGCATCGTTCATCGATGTGTTCACGCCCAACACATATGTTATGGTTATTATGTCAGATTGCTCTATACGTAAGTAGAAATGATGTGAACTTTATGTAATATACATGATGATATGAAGGAAATATGAAAGAAAATGCCATACAGTTTGTACTGGGATGTTTTTAAATACCTGTCATTCTACTAATCTTTTATTTTATTTTATAATTAAATATTGAAAAGTTGGACAACATTTCTGAACCTATTGATGTGGGATGATTTTTCAAACACACAAAAAAAACACTCTTGAGTTCTTATGGCCATCAAATTATGATGTCAACTGCAAAAAGTTCAAGTTTCCTAAATTTTGTGTAAATCGAATAGATATCTTAAGGAAAAAAACCACAAGACAAAGACAACTTTAAAGCACAATGAATAATATATTTTTGATTGGATATTTGAAATCAGACTTGACAATCTATCTGACAATCTGGCAATCCTATCTATACCTTAGCTGTTCTTTTGGCAGAGGGAAATCAGTTTCCTTTAACTCTATATTTAGGTTTTTTGAATCACGCATATATCTGGTCTTTTTTCTTTTCTTTTTTCCTGTAGCGTCTGCAGCCACTCAAATCAACATTAAGAACGCAAGACAACACTTTGAAAAGTTGGAAAAAAGTCCTTCAGATGGATCGCATTCACTGAGGGGAAGATAGAAATAGTGAGACGTACGTACTGGAAGTGGAAAAAATGAATACTGTTTAGGTATGAAGCAGTACATACATTTCAAATTTCTTTATTTCACAAAAAAATCTATCAAAATGCTAAAAACTGTAAAATAATTTGATGACATTTATAACTATTAAGTAGTTAGGCATAGCTCCTAGATATGAAGATGAGCCAGTCCCTTGCTTTCAATAATTGTTTTCTTCATGCTTTTAAGAATCTATCTTAAACTGTACTTTTAGTTAATGTACACCTGTACGTACACCAATCCATGATGTTGTTGCATTTTACTATTAATCCCAAAACAAAAATTAGGAAGATACCTAGATGCCGTCTTAGTTCAGAGTGCTAAACTAAGACTGTGTGCACAGCACGTGAAATCACAAAAATGCAGTCAATCTCCATACAAAAGTGACTATTCATATCTTTGTTGGCATTCTGCATAATGCTTGGCATTGGATGTGCAAACTTCGTTTTTGCCCAGGAGTGATACAAATTGAATAAGCTAGAGATATTAGAAACAAGAAGTGTCTTGTCAAAGTATGCCTTATGAGACAAGAAATAGATTAAACACAGATCAGTTGACAGTGCCATTAACTGTTCCTTCTTCCCCACATATTTACTGGGGGGGGGGGGGGTGGAATGTAGGCAAGAGAATTTTAAAAAACACCTAACAAACCTTCCCGGTTCTATCAATCTTTTTTCCTATTGTGATATCTTTTTTATCAATATTTTTGTTTCTCTTTTGAATTGGTTTGCTAAAACTTCCATTATTCTCAAGGAGCTTGATAGATTTGCCAGGAGTGAACTACTCTGAAAAGATAAGGATTTTATCGGCGAAGCCGAAAAAAGGACTTCGCGAAGCGAGAGTAATATGAGTAACATGAGTAAGATACCAAAAGAAAAAAGAGAAAGTCTAGCAGCTTGATTGTGTCCTTTTGAGAAATAATCTTAATTTTTCTCATTTAAATTATCCTTCATTTGTGGATTGCCAGGAAACTTTTTTCCTGGACTTGTTGGCTTCACCATCTTTTCCCCACACTTGCGGCAGAACGTAATGTCATCACATGACATCAAACCACAATTGTAACAAGGAAATGGTTTGATCTTCTGCACTTCCGGTGAGCCAGGGTAGTGTGACCCAACCACCGTGCGATAAGCTACTGCAGAAGGAATGGTAGAGGTGGTATGAGGGAGACAGGTCACAGGGTTATAGAGTTGGGTCCTTGCCAAGCGTGGCGGTGGCGGCATCTGCAGATTTGAAGGTCTTGGGGAAATCTCCATATACATCAGACTAGATTTTTGTCTTGGGTGAAGATTTCCATGTAGAGGTCCTTCTTTGTTGGTGGTGACTTCGTGGACGGGTGAGTCTGGTGTTGAAGCCTGTAGAGGACTTGGGCCACTTGTTTGTTGGTCGCTATGGTTACTAGAGGCTAGTGGGGGTGGTGAGTGTGCTAGAATACACTCGATTGCTTTAACGACATTGTTATCGCACCCCATCAGCACGAGCTCTAATACATATCGCCTGAAGGAAGGGAAAATCTTAACTAGAATTTCCATTGGTTGTGGACTTTTTTCTGGCTCAGCCAAAACTCCAAAGCTTCGCCTTAAGAAGTTGACGGTGTAATCAAAGTCTTCCTTGTCACGAAAAGGGGGCTGGCACGTATTACTGAAATACGTCCCTTGGTTTGGACAAACGAGGGACGCTGTATGACATGTCGGCACGTCACCTGTAGGCTTTTGTTCCCTTCTTCTCTTAGCTTGTGGTTCGTTATCAGACTGGAAATCTAACGAACTGTTTTCGCTGCTTGTGCGCTCACGTTTGATTTGCCTTGAATAGGTTGCCTTGCCGTCTAGTTTTCCTTAAGGAAAATCAAAGAAAGGGAAAAGATTAAAATGATTGGAAGTTTTCCAAATTTTAAGAATTCTGTAACTTTTAATACTTTCAGTTTTCGTAAATTAAATTTATTTTTCCCGGCTTTAATCCTCAATTATTTGCCTTTCAATGTTTTGGTTGCTTTCAACGACTTTTTCCCTTTGACTTTTAAATGGCTTTTTCATATTCTCTACACTGACTTTCGAATGGCTTTTTAGCAATCCATCTATCGCGACGGTTAAATGGCTTTTCGTATCTTCAGTCTTTAATCGAACTTTAAGTCTTGTAAAGATTTGGTACTAAAAATACAAGCATTAAGAGAAATAAAGCTTGGCACAGCTCTACCCCTCTCTATATTCTTCCACACGCATTCCTTGGTATTCATAGATGTGAATGATCATGGGCACCCAATGCAACCCGCTTCAACAGTGGAACAGTGGGTGGGGAACATTGATAATGATGATGATGATGAAAGCTAAACTGTACTCAGTGGCCTTCTCCTTCAGGAAATTCAATATGGCGTCGCGAGGCCATAAATTAAGACTTTATATTAATTGTTCGATTTTTCAGGTCTAATTTTAAAAAATCCCGCTCCACCAGTTTGTACATCACTACTGGTAGGTACTAGTTCCGTGTAAGCCTCTCATTTCTATCTACACAAACTATTTTGTGGTAGAATAAACCAGGGTTCTCATTGTGATTTAGCTAGTCTTAATTAAGAACAGGTGGTTTCCGAATAACTTAATTGCATCTGTTTCGAATTGTTTCTTTAATTACTAGATAAATTTAAATTCCAAGTCAAAAGAGAATCAACTGAGAAAAAGAAAAGACACACTATGAATACTGAAAAGAAAAAGGAAAAAAATTCGATAAAGTAATTTCACTGTTTGGTGCCTTTGCTTTTATTCACTGTTACCAGGAGAAACGTCAAAGGACCTTATTCTTAAGTGAAGTGTTTTTCTTGTAAAACTTTAAGACCACGACAGTTTTTGACAATGAATTAAGAAATCTGCCAGAACACGAGGTTCCCATCAAGACTGTCTATTTTTAGGTACTCGTTAATTGACCAGTTTACCAAGCACAAACAGACCACGAGTGGCTAATTTAACCCTTCTTGAAACAAATTATTGAGGCGCATACTTGGTGATTGACATGAGAACCGAATAAGTCGAGTTCTTTCTTTTTTGGGGGAACGCCGAAACAAAAGTAAAAAATCTCGAACGTTCCTTCTTATTCTCAGAAAATTCCTACTTCACGTATTCAGAAAGGAGTCGCTTTTCCCTGATTCGTTTCATTATTACAAGTGAAACAAAAGTTTTTTTGGCTCGTGGTATTCGTGATCTGAGAGTATTCGACGATTTCTTTCCTTTACCATGAGGAGATTTCTTCGGGTTGTCCCTCCGTGAAGCGTGAGTGTCGTTTGTACAAGCACGACTTCCTGAACGAACACGTTTCTCACGCCTTGTGACTCAACAGTTATCGAAAAGGAGCTTAAAAAGAGGAAAAAGGAGTCGAGATATCTTCAAAGTGCAAATAAAAATTTGTTAACGAACACGTTTTTCTCACACATTGTAACTTTTACGCTGTTCATTTGATTGTAAGATATATAATGTCAGATTACTTATCTAACACCTTTTAATCACAATCTAACAATTTAGATTAACTCCACTGATTTGTAATGTTAACAATGAACAATGAACTACATAAAACATTTGAGCAGTGTTATAAGAATTTTTTTGCTATACAAACAATTAGTAGTGATAGCTTTCGGAACGTCATTCAAGGGCAATATATTAAACGAACTACTCAACGAAGTTTACACTATCCCAATGACCCATTCCTTTATTGAAATACTCCCAGCTAATGTACAGTCTGTTAAGGTGTTTCAAAGGGGGCAGCACTAAAGACATCTCGTAAAGACTCTGGCTTTCCAACTTTTTACTAAATAAAAATTAAGAGGAATATTTTTTTCAATAACGAGCAATAATAGTAATAAAAAAGCGCCAAACACTAGACCTTCGTATGAGTTTTGATCACAATTTTCGTTTTGGGTTAACACTCAAAACCTTTTTTAAACAGTTAGAAACTGATGTACTATGATAAAATGCCTGTTTGAAGCAGTATTTTCAATTGTACAAAGATGTTTTGTTGCAT